CGGCTCACACAAAGCATTAAAACAATAAATAGATATAAATACATAAAACATAAAAAAATTATGCAAAACATTACCAAAAAAGGAGGAGAAAGTCCTTTTGCACAAAAACTCTCGGAACAAGGAGAAGAGCATCTTTCCAGTGTGCGGCTTCAGTGTATGCAAGGAGGCCTCCTGAACGCACAGGGAGAGAGGGGCTTCCAGATTTAAGGGGAGTGTATCTCAGGCTCCTGGGTGCTGGGTTCAGGTCCAGCAGAGGCTGCTCCCTTCTCTGCCTGGGCTCCAGCTGGGGCAGGCCTGTGGGTTGCTTGGCCTTTGGAGGCAGGCGGCTGGGGAGGACCCCCTTGACTTTCTCCCCCAAATTCTCTGTGCAGCATTTGGGAGTTCAGCTTATCCTGCTCCTTGCTGCGGTATGGGGCTTACACCCATTCCTGGCTGTGGAGTGCCCTTGTCGCCCTGCGAGAAGGGGAGGCCCGGCAGCCTTGCCCATCGGACGGCAGGCTGGAGGAGGGAGGTGGCCACCTGCTGCTGACCTCAGGGCACTCTTTCCTGCTGCCGCCTCTGCCACCACCACAGAGCCTGGCAACGTGACTGCCCCCGCTCGGCGCATCGTGCCCAGAGGAGGAAGGACTGTGGCCGATCCCGCTCACTTGGGGGCACGGTCGTGTGCCCTTCAGGCACTCTGGTGGATGGAAAGGCGATTAGGACTCAATCTTGTTAACCACTTTGGAGCCTCCGTTGGCAGTGGAGAGACAGAGAAGGTGGGCAGGGCAGGTCTCCCCCCCGGCAGACCGTGAGCTTAACCCCCCCCCGCCTCCCGCCACCCTCCTAGCTCGTCGGCCGCGCTTCCTCTCCCAGGGCCCTGCTCTCCTCCAAGGGTGCGCCGTGCTTGTTCTCCCCCCCTTCTAGCTGATGAGCCATGTAACCGGTCAGCTGATGGGCCAACTGAAGCTGTAATTCAGGAAACCGCTTGGGAGCATCTTCTCTCCATCCTCATGGGTAAAATTAACCGTTGCTGGCCGGGTCCGGATCTCACCACGGACCTGCCTTGTGACCTTGCGAAGAGCAGGTGCCTCCTACGGTGGGCTTAGACGTCCATCTCAGCAAGATTTGAGGAGGGCCACTGGCCTGGAAAGACGGACGTGGGCTTAGATACGTTCGGGGGGAGGCCCTGGCCCTGGCCCTGGCCCAAGCGGACTGCAGCCCTCGGAAGGTGCCCTGGCTGGTTGGGTTGCCGTGCTGGAGAACCACGGTGGGTCACACTGAGGCTTTCGTTCCGTCCCCCGCTGCCACTGTTGGGTTCATGCCAGGCTTTGCACGCAAACATGCTAAACAGGGCACAAACGAAACAACCACTGTGAAGCTCTAGAAACAAGCTCACCCAAGCTTGTGGTAGGTTCACATACACCCTTATTTCTTTGGTTCTTGTTTAATCTGTGGGGTTGGTCTGCTAGATCTGGGTCGCAAGACTCTGGAGGGCCACTAGATGCCAGCAAAGAGTTAAGGTTTTTCTGGATCTCTCTAGTGCCATCTAGTGGGGTCGTTGGAGTTTTGCAATGCGTGAGCCTCAGGAACCCCCGTCAGTGGTGCTGAGTTCTGACTGCATCCGTTCAAACAATGCAAACTTCTTTTAGAGAAGAAAGGTTGCCATTGAATTACTGATACGAAGCAGGAATCCCACTGAACTAAGGAAAGAATATCCAGTCTTTGCTTAATTGTTTTCCTCTGACTTCCTCTAGGCCAGTGTTTCTCAACGTTGGCAACCTTAAGAGGTGTGGACTTCAACTCCCAGAATTCCCCAGCTAGCCATGCTGGCTGGGGGATTCTGGGAGTTGAAGTCCACACGTCTTAAAGTTGCCAACATTGAGAAACACTGCTCTAAGGTAATCAGTCAGTGACAGTGCTACTAGAAAGCCCCGCTGTCCTTTTGTGTGTGTTGTAGGGCGAGGATCAGTGACTGCGAAGCCCCTCTAGATGTTGTCATCACTCCTGTTCTGAGGAGAGTTGAGAAATGGTATTTCTCTTCTCCTTCACCCCACCTACCCCACCTGCGATCCCGCTGGGGAAGCCATCACCCTCCTACTTTGGGCGTACTTTTCCAAAAGCCTCCGGTCTGGCTCTTGTGGGGCCCGCTAAGTTGGCTTCCTTCACATGTGCAGTGCCTGTGTTTCCCCTAGACCGGATTCCCACATCAGCTAGGTTAACGAGGAGCTGGGCAGCTGGGCAGGTCGTTACAGAAATCCAGCATTTGACTGAAAACGTGCAAACCAGACAATCGCCTAAAATGGCTCTGGTTAACCCAAGTGTAGTCGCATTCGCCGGCAGCATCTGGGTTCCAGTG